AGTACAATGGCTTCCATTTTAAGATAAACACCGACTAGTTAAATAATTTTAATTCATAATTAACAAATGTTTTTATCGTAATAATTTCAAAAAAGATCTACAAATTCAAAATTTCTAACAGAAGAATCATTAATTAATCATTTTTAAATTCTGAATTTACGAATTATATTCTACATGAACATTAATTATCAGAATTAAAACGTTATTATCTATGACTTTTAAGGACCCAAGACATACATGCAAATCAATCTATAATATCACTATTAGAAACAATCATTAAATGAATAAGTAAATAAGAAATACAAGTTTAATTTTATCTTATAAATGCAAAATTTTTAGTTTGAGCTCATTAAATTTATGCAAATGCAGGGATTAATACCTATCAATATTATTATTATTTCTGTTTTTAATTATTAATTAAATCTCATGATGAGAAATGGACTTGAATAGATTTGTAATTAGGCAACTAATTTTTGGAAATAACAACTCTTTCCATAATAAAAACAGTTTGAAGAGGCCTCTACGAATATTGGTTCAAATATCCTTATTGATGACTCGATTTTTGAAGTTTCGGCTAAAAAAACCGAAGATTTTCTCTTTTCAGAAGCACAAAAATAAAACTAGTCTAACGAAAAATGCGAAGAAGAATTTGTTTGTCATTAAATACAAAACTCTTAAAAACTTTATCTTGAGGAGAATAGTCAAAAGGAGAGGGATAGTTTTTCTTGTTCTGAAAGCTAAAATAGGAAAAAGGAAAAGAAAAAATCAAGAACTCGATCAAACAAATCAAGTAAACATTTATTTAAATTACAAGCTAAATAAAGACTAACTATAAGCCAAGAGGCCTTTATTTTGGAGCAAACTAGAAAGGGAACTAACCCTGCAGACATTCCTTTATAAATTCCTGGCGTAGCATCCAATTAAATTAAGAATCGCTTGATGAAAAAACTAAAAAATTTTAGTAAAAATAACGAATTTTCATGCTCAAATATTGCTGATCTGATTGAGAGGATATAAAAACTATAACAGTATTTAACATAAATAAAGTTAGAGAGTAAGACAAAGATAACACGACTAAAATAGAAGAGTTAAGATAGCATATCTAAATGATTGAGAATCACTTGAACTCAACAAAGCAGCTGATCTTATAAAAATACATGATTTTATTTCAACAAGAGCAATGAAGAGATTTACTTTATTCAAATCATCAATAAAATTGGATTTGAGTATTATTCAAATCTCATACTATAATTAGCTTAAAAATACAAAACAATTCGTAAATAAAATAATATAAAATTATTGCAATTATATTAATTATATTATAAGTAATTGATAAGGAAAAATAATTAATTTTGCTTTCTTTATCTATAAAAAAATAATGGAATGATGCAAACTAAAATAAATGAATAAAGACTATTTTAATAAAATTATAACTAATATTCATTCTTGAAAAATGTATAAAATTAAGATATTAACATATTTATTGATTCTCCAAGTTTTGAAATTCTTCTAGTAAAAGATTTTTACCTTAAATTATATCTATATGTAAAATTGAGAAGAAATAATATACTAAAAAATATAATTATGAATTAAGTGTGCAACTCAGAAAAATAGGAATCGAAAGATCCTTTTGAAAATTTTCAAGTAACTCAATAATTATATCAAGAATTTACAAAAAATTCATATGTTTGATGAAGCCCTGAATGAGATTAATGAAGCTTTGAAGATAAATCCACTTTATTCATAGGCCTTAAACTTAATAGGTAGGAAAAACTAATACTTTTTGATAGCTGAGTTCTCAATAAAAGATGAAGAACTATTCTAAGTAGAAGAGAGATTACAGGGAGTTATTTAACCAAATCCTCGAATAGAAGATGCTCATTTTAACAGATGTATATTATACATTACATTTTAGCACTTTTTTTCAGAAAAAACAAAATTTACAATTTGACGCAAAATCAACTAAACCTAGATTTTAATGAGAGTACTAACCTAAAGAGTATAATTATTTTAAGCAAATAGGCTTTTTAATGAAAAAATAAGAAAGTTTATTAGAAGCACTTGGAATATTTTAGAAAATCTTGGAGATACAGTATTTGAATTATCCTGCCCATTATTACAGAGGTAAAGGAAAAGCATGGATAATTAGGTTTGATTTTTCATGCTTTAGGAAAGCATATGGATGCTTTTTTAGAATTTAATTAGGCAGTAGAAATAAGGCCTACTTCCACTGAAGCTTTTTTTTAAAGAGCAGAATTGTTATTAGATATGAATAGGAACTTAGATGCCTTGGAAAATTATAACAAATCAATTGAAATTGATCCTAAAAGGGCCTAATCTTATAAACGAAGAGGTATTTTCTTATATTTAGGAAAGGTAAACTTCTAAAATAAATGGAGAATTATGAAGAGGCCATTATAAATTTCAATCAGGCAATTGAATTAAATTCAGGTTTTGCTAATAATTATGTGAATAGAGGTTTTAAATTATTCTATCCAAAGGATTGTTATTTAAGGCTCTGAATGAAAAACAAAAAGCCCTTGAAGATTATGATTTAGCCATTTCTATCAACCCTAAATTTATCAAAGCCTACAAAAATAGAGGTAGTTTCTATTCTTTTTTTAGCCATCTTATTTCAAGAAATTAATTAAAATGATAAAGCATTAAGTGACCTCAATAAAATCTTAGAATTAAACCCAAAAGATATTTATACTCATATTTAAAGAGGTAGAAATTAATTTAAATAAAGCTAATTTACTATAATTGCTTGGATGTACTGAGTAAGCTCTTTAAGATTACACAAAAGCAATTGATATTAATCCAGATGAAACAGAGAATTATTGCAAACGAGGTAAAGAATTATTAATATTAAAGCTGATCTGTATAAGTAGTTAGGCTAGACTGATTTAGCAATGAAAGATTATGACAAAGTTTTAGAGATTAATCCAAAAAATTCAAATGGTTATTGGAATAAAGGTATTGACTTTCTTAATGGAAGCCATCATCTTCGAAGAATTGAAATAATATGAACCTGCAATTGCTTTTTTGACTGGGTTTATCTAATTAAATCCATTAGATGAGAATGCTTATATGAAAAGATGTAGATAATTCATGTTTTATTATATTAGCCGATCTCTATAAATTGGTAAATCAACTTGATAAGGCATTAGATGATTAATAAAAGATAATAGAAATCAACCCAAAAAATGTACTTGCGTTATTAAATAGAGGTTCAAATTTGAATATTTTGCTGTAGCATTTCTTTTCAAGGAAATGAATGAAATCGAAAAAACATTTTAAGATCTAAATAGAATTTTGGAGATTAAGCCAAATAACATCAATACTTATTTTATTAGAGGTAAAGTTTAATAGTAATTCAGGAAATTTGTACAAAGATCTAAATTAAGATGATCAAGCTATTCAAAATTTTAGCAAGATAATTGAGATAGACCCAACTCATTTTATCGTTTTTTATAATCGAGGTTAGGCGTTTTTATATAAAATAAAAAGCAAAAATCTATCAAAAATTACAGCAGAATGATCTGGCACTTTAAGATTTAAATAAAGCAGTCGAACTCAACCCATAAATCACTTTTACTCTTATAGAAAGAGGTGGAAAATGATCCTATTTTAGGCATCCAACTTTTTAGTATGAACTAAAAAGATAAAGCATTAATTGATTATAACAGGCTCTGAAATAATCCGCAATGCTGTGATGCTTACATTAAAAAAGGTATTTTATTCGAGCATTCATTTTAGGCATATTATTAGAATCTTTAGATTAAAAATAATAAGCCCTTGAAAATTATAATCAAGCTATCGAGATTGATAAAAATAATTTTTTAGCTTATAATTATAGAGGTATATTATTGTTATCCAAGTAACTAAGCTGATTATTGGAATTCAATCGATGAGAAGGAGAAAGCAATTGCTGATTATGATTAAGCAATTTCATTAGACCCTAAAAATGCATTAACATATTTCAAAAGAGCTAAGCTGCTCTCAGCAGTCAACTAGAAAGATAAAGCTATAGAAGATTTCACAAAATCTTTACAAATTGATCCCGGATAGAGTTCAATTCTAATGTATCGAGGTAAATGATGAATTGTATTTGAAGGGGATTTATTCAAAGAATAAAATTTAATTTCTTAGGCAATTCAAGATTATTCAGATGCTATTCAAATTTGTCCTAATCAAACACAGATATATATAAAGAGAGGTATTTAACCACCTTCAGTTTTAGGTAATATTTTACTCGATCCAGTGAAGGATTACAAAAAGGCTTTACAAGATTATAATTATGCAATCGAAATTGATTCAAATTGTTTTGAGGCTTTTTATTAGAGAGGTATTACTCTTTCTTAAATTAGCAATACTGAACAAATGCATTTATAGAAACGATCTTGCAATTGCTGATTTCAACATATGTATTTAAATAAATCCAAAGAGCGAACTTGCATATATTTCTAAGGGTCATACTTAAATATTTATAATAGGTTTAATATTGAACGAAATGAATAAGCCAGAATAGGCAGTAATAGAATACAATAAAGCCTTATTGATAAATCCAAATAATTTCAATATAACCCTAAAAAGAGGTATCATATATTACAAAAAATTAAGCTTATGCTTATATTTTAATGAAACTTTACAAATAAGCTTTAAACGACTTCTCAACAGTGATCGAAATGTACCCAAATGAATCGAGTTATTATACTAGTAGAGGTTTATTGATTATGTATAATATAGCGAACCTATTGTTTAATATTGGTTAAAAGGAAGAAGCTTTAAAAGATTATAACAAAGCTATAGAATTGAATCCTAAAGATGCAACCTATTATTATAATAGAGGTAGAATTGAATATAATTGAAGCCGTCTTTTACAATAAAGTTAATTTGAAGGAGATGTCACTTCAAGATTACAATATGACTATCGAACTAGATCCGAAAAATTATTCTGCTTACAATAACAGAGGTTAATAGATCCTATAACAATAGGCCTTTTACTTTAGAGTATTGGCAAGAAAGATGAGGCTCTATAAGATTTTTTAAATGCAATTAGACTATGTCCTGATCATCCTTTATATTTGGCAAACTTAGGAGATCAATATTATTCTGATCACTAATTTGAATTAGCTAATCAATATTATAAATAAGCATAAACCCAAATAGAATGTATCTCACTTTAAAAATTAAATTAATTAAGATTGAATATTGAGCATTTAAATTTTATTAAAACAAAAGTCTAATTAATAACCTAGATTGAAGATGAAATTAAAAAAATGAAAAAATAAATAGAATAATTGCCTAAGACAAGCTCAAACAATGAATAGATTAAAGAATGCTTAGAAAAAGTGTCAACTATAGAAAGGTCTTTATCTTATTCAGTTTTACCGTGCAATCAGGAATAGCAAAGTGATGCACAACAAACGATAATTTCGTTTTATTAATAAATGTAGAAATAATTGAAAGAACTTTATGTCAAACTAGATTAATAGGATAAAGTTATCAATTTATTAGTCTAGTAAGATTAGTTTAAAATAGAATAATAAATGAAAGAAATAAAACTACCATAAAATAAGCATCAATTTACATATTTCCGATCTTTGTTTTGGCATTTATATTATTACTTACATGCAATGTCAGAGATTTCTACTAATTTGTTTTAAGTGAATACAAATGCTATGATAGAAAGTTCATCTGAAAAAGTTATAAATCTTGTCAAAAAAACATTTAATATAGGAACGAAGGTTTTAGATAAAGTACATATCGCCGCACATGCATTTCATATTATTAATGAAGCATTAAATATTGTAGTAGATCATAAAAGGGAGGAAAAGTTTAAAAAAAGATTAATGCTCTTAACTAATATATTAAAATTGTTTGCTATTACACCTACTGAATTAGAAAGAGAGGTCTAATTTACTGCCATTGAACTAAGTAGAACTTAGTAAACTGGGTTGAAAGAAAATTAAAATTCACGATTCATTGAATTTATTAAGAAATTGGCTGAGGAAGAAAGTATCTCAGAGGAGAAGAGCAAGGATATTTTTTGGAAGAAAGGAATTGAAGATACCTTCATTATTTTACGATATTTAGAAAAGTTTAATTAAAAAATTATACAAGAAGATCAAAATAAAAAATTAAGTGAAGTATTTTTGGAAGCCATCAAATTCAATATAATTGAGGAAAGTAGCAAAAAACAAAAAGATCCATCATAAACATAAATGAAATAAAAAAAGCCTAAAAAAAAATTTTAAGAAGCATGTAATATTTAATGATAATATTATTCATAATTCTTTATAATATATTGAACTTCTACAGCTATTGATTACTAAATTAATTAATAAGTTGATATTTTATTATTCAAATAAGGAATTCATCATAGCATTACATATTAAAATGACTCTTTCTAGTAATTTTCAAAATTTATTTAGATGTCTTAATTTTAATTAGAAAATAAAATTTTCTCAATTAAACTTATCCATGCATCTCATTAAATTTTATACTGTCATTCTATAATCTTCCTAATTTATTTATTTATTTTACTTCTATAAAGTAATTGAGATCAAATTGACAGACCTAAATGGAATAAATTAATTTATATATATTAATGAAGTATTTATTATTCATACTTCTGGTTCTAAGATCAAAAATTCCTTCAGAAGAGCTATGAGCTTTTCCTTCAATATATAGCATGCATATAATATATTTTTTTAATGATTGTTAATAATTAACTTAAAATTATCGAAATTTTAATGATTTTAAATAAATTAAAATTATAAGCATTTCTCAGTATTTATTACATAAATGCATAATTTCATATTTAGATGTCTAATTGTTTCATTTTTTAAATTAGTAATTAAAAATGCTTTAATTATTATAAAGTGGAGGTTAATTATATTGATCATTAATTAATTGGAACCCCTTAACTAAGTCATACTAAATCGATTAAAAAACCAATGAAGTCAAATAATTATAAATTCAATTTTATCTTTTCTATGAAAATAGTATATTTAGATTTTACTTAAGACTTATCAATTATATAAAGAGCCATAAAATCTTATTTTTTATTCTATTTCCAACTTTCAAGAAAACGATTCATACAAATGCTTCGAAAACGAAATGAGGAATGAAGGACTGGAAATTAATTGACTTCATTTTTTGTGTTGAACTAATATTTGCCTCATAACTCTTTCCAATCTGTTTACAGGGCTACAAATTTTCCAGAATGATAATTGAAAAGTTGCCTTGTAGTTTAACTAGTCATCCTGTGCCCTGTTCCTAAATAGAGTCTTGACATCCCTAGAATTCAGAAATAAATTGAGTTAGTTTGAAATTAACACCAAAAACAAAAGAATAATATAGGAGGCTCTGAACAACAATATTAAAAGATTTATAATGAATGAAATCGCTATTTCTTTTAGTTTTTGCAATTATACATGGTTGCATGAATTTCAAATTAATCGATAGCCTATTTCTGGTACATAGTAAAAATAAATTTTACTCAGGTAAAGGGTAATTTAGAAAGAAATAGCATAATTTAAAGAAATTCAACCTCTAAAATATATTCTTCATAAAGAAATTAAAAAGTTTATATCACTATCAATTACATGATGTATTAAAAACTGAAACTGACCTTACCTTTCTTTAAACATGAAGGATAATATTTATTTTTTTTTCTACCTTAATCAGAGACAATTTAATACTTTTGTGATATCTATTTAAAATAACCTAAATATCTAATAATTATATTGGATATCGACAAATAGTTATATAATTATTTTACTAAGTTCAGCTATAGAATTTAAGGTGATTTAATAAAAGATGTAAGAAATGTGTAAAACTTTAGCAAATTTGTTTTAGGAACTTTAATTCTTATTATAGGCTAGGGAAGATTTGAAATCAAAATTATGAGATGATTTAAATTAAGTAACTAGTATATATTATCAAGATCGTTAAAATTGATCAATTAAAGGAAATAATAATAATAAATTTGTACTAATTAGGTGATACGGTAAATTCTTAGGCTATTGAAATGAGTCAGAAGAACTTACAATAATATATTAAATGTTTAATTTAAAATAATGGAGCATTTAAATGAGAAACCTTTTAGTGGGTTGGATTAGAAATAAAATCAAATAAAAATTGGAACATTGAGAGATTTCAAGAATTTCAAAAATCTAGTGAATTATATCATCAAATTTCAGGTAGATATTTTAGTTTACATAAATTGTGTCAACTAAAACTTGAAAAAATATTAAATTGTAAATTAATGAATAATAATGTTGTTTTAAAATACAAAATATCATACAGAGCAAACAGCTAAATAAATATTATAGGCATAACTGAAATTTTTCAGGAACACAAGAAAATTTAAATAGAAATTTGTTTTTGACTAAAGTAATTGGTAAAAGCAATTTATTATTTGCTTATCTTGTAATGGATGAAGATAAAATCAAACTATTAATATATCCAATAGATTTTGGAGGTGGTCACTCATTTGTTTTGGCTAAGAACAACGTAAAATTCAGGAATGTGAAGTATTTGAAATAAGATTTATTTGAAATCTAAATATATAAAATTAGTTGGTTTATAGCTAAATTATATAAATCATCAAATAAGAAAGTTCTTGCATTTTGAACTTAAAAATATCTTTAATTCTGTTTTTTGTAATTTGGTTTTCAAAACATGATGTGGGTTGTTGAATTAAAGCAATTTTATTTTGAATGTTCTTTTTTATTTATATTTTGATTTTTAATAGGATTTTTCTTTAATTACTATATAACTAAGTTTAGTTATTCAAATAAACATCCTTGTTAAAGTAAATTACATCAAGATTGATTGCATAACTGAAGTTAGATTTATTGTTAAATTCCTTTAACGAATGCTGTTTATCAAGATGAAAATGTTAATTCGAATTCATAATAATATTAATTATATCATTTTCGTATTGCCAACAATTGATGCATTTTTGAATTCTTATGCTCTATCAAATTTATCCTAATTCAATAACGAATTATCTGAAATTTTTTGAATTATTACTTTTATTTGTTAATATTTCTTAATTTCTTGATATTCGAAGGGCAGAATCATAAGACTTTATAGCTTTATTATATTCTTTAAGGTTATCTAAAGCTAATCCTATAATTAATTTCGAAATTAGAAACCTTTTCTAAAATAATAGTGCTGATTATTAGAATTTATATTGATTGCTTTATTATAGTATTCTACAGCTTCAAGGTAGTGTTCAACTTAATGTAAGGCTTTTCCTAAAATTTTATTATTGTTATTATTAATTAGGTTACCTTTATAGTAGTAGGCCTTATCATTTTGAAAATTTATTTTTAGTGCCAAGTCATAACATTCAATTGCTTCTTCAAAAAGTTTCAATTAAGTTAGCGCATATCCTTACTTTGAGATAAAATAAATACCTTTATTTAAATATATTGCATCGTTTTGGGAATTTAATTTTAAAGCTTAATTATAATTTGCAATTGCATCCTCAAAATATTCTAATTTTGTTAGAGTATTTCCTTTGATTTTCATTGTAATAAAATACCTTTATAAAAGTAAGCGGATGGATTATCCAATCGTAAATGAATTGCCTTATTATAATAAACAATAGCTTCCTCATAATTTTACATCAGATATAGATCATTAGCTTAATTAATTTTAAATATATAACCTTAAGTTAAATAATGAGTTTATTTTTGAATGGCTTCTAAGTATGTTTAGTTTTGGGCTTGGCTGGCTTGTTTATGACTTAATTAAATAGTTTTATACTCATCAATTTCAACGTATATAAAGAGCATCACAACTGCTCCAATCAGAAAAAGATAAATATACATAATACAAACTATGACTTGAAAAGTTACAATGCACCATGAACCTCCTTTTGAAAGATAGTTCATTATATACTCTAATTGTAAATATCACAAAGTATACGTGTAAATTTCTATTTTTCATTAGTTAAGCGAACCTTCTTTGTTAATTCTAAAGATTAAATTAGGTGTTCCATTTAATTTAACTTATTTACTAAATACTTTATTAAATTTACAATCATCTAGTTATCTATCTTGTTAAAATTCCTCTTTTAACATTATGATTTATTCATTTGAAAAAGAATTCAATTTTTACTTCGATAAATTTCCTTAAATATTTCTAAAATCTTCTATTTATTTTTCATAGGCTTCAATTTAATGTCTGTTTAATTGACTTAATTGAATTTATTTTTCTCTGATCTTGTCTAAGTGATTCTTTTTTTCTTTGATAGAAATTGATAAGTCTTTGATTATTTGTCCAAATTCTTTGCAACTTTCCATATGATCCGAATGATCTTCTTCTAAACATAATTAACAATAGATAGAATTTTAAGGGCATTTTATGGAAACACAAAAACCTATGCAAATTTATGATTTGTGAAGTCTACAAATCAGAGCCTTTGATGTATTAAACATTGAATTATAGATTAAATGTAGAAGTAATCATTCTATCTATAATATTTTTTTACATACGTGTAAATAATTAAATCATCAATATATATAAATTAAGATAACCAAAACCTAATTCTTAAAATTTATTAAATCAATATAGTATATATGAGCTCATATCATAGCTAATCGTTTTTGATATATCAAAAATAAATGAAAATTTTTCAGGTGTAATGTAGCAAATTTATCTCTAAAGATTGTAAAATATAAAATAAAATGATAATCAAAATAGAAAAATGAATTCTAACATAAAAATCAATTTTAATTTCGACATTGGAGTATAAATGTTGAAAATAAAGCTATTCTGAAATTCCTACTATTCTCTATATTTATTTCAGATTTCTTCAAAACAATTTCAGTTTATATCTCATAGAAATGTATATATTAGGTTGATATTCAAATAATCATTATTGATAGAAAATAAACACAATTCATAGTATTTAACAGCCATCTATTATTGTCAAAGTCATTTCTGATTATTCTAAAGATTTTAAAATAAATTTTGAATTATTATCATTGCAGGGAATTTGATTTTATCATTTTTTATTAACTTATGCAACTCTTATTTCATCAGTAAATTACTAAAAAGACCATTCATACTACAACTAGTTAGTGATACCATCGCTAACAGAAATTATAAGATCCTCAGTTTTATTAATTAAGACATCCCTATTATTTGCTTTCCCTTAAATTTGAGTGATTAATTAACCAAATATTTTTGATTATAAAACTCAAGGAAAATCAAAAGCTTGCGTATTATAAAGCTATTCAAGGTAATCTATTATTTTGGTCTTTCTTTAGCATTTCGAATGTCCAATTAAAAATGATACATCAATATTTAATGTTTCTGTGGATACATTATGCAAATATTTCTTCTCACATAAGGGTGAAAAATCTTCTTCTTCTTTCTACATCTTATTTCCTATTTTGAAACCGACTGAAATTAAAGTGATAAAAGTATAGTTCTTATGGTTAAAAGAAAAACAATGGAAACATTAATTTTAATTCAGGACTTCCTATATGTATAAACAGGACATCTCAAAGGACCATTATTTAATTTATCTAATTCCATTGTTCACAATAAAAAATCATCCCTCAATTCAACTCTTTTCCTTTGCTCAAATAGCAAAGTATTAGCAAATCTATACTCACATAAGGCTCTCCTAAGTCATATTAAGATTTCTATAAATATAAGTGTTCTAAAAAGAAAAAAAATCGCCAGTTAACTATGAAAAAAGTTTGTTTATCAAAAAGAAAATATAGTAAACAAGAATTGATATTGAATATTTGCAATGCATTATTATTATAATTATCAATTATATTATAATCCTATTGTTCTTTCTAAATTATAACTTCCTCTTGATTTAAATAATGGTCTTAAGTCGATGCCTAATTAATTATTAAATTCTCCTTTCAACATTAAAGCATCTTAAGCTTACAATA